AATTTATAAAGTTATATTGTAAATCAAATAAAACAATAAACTAACGTCAATATCTGATTGTGTAAATGTTTCTGGATCAACACCCATCATGTTAGCTAAATGACGTTTTCCAACATTGTATTCATGTGTTTGCTGTTCCATAAAGTTATCTGGAATATTAAATTGTAATACAAATTTATCGCATGGTATATTAAACAATAATTGTGCACATAAAACATTTTTCAAAATATTTGGATTAGTAAAAATACAATTTTCAATTTGCACAGAATTAAATCTCGAGACTGAAATTATGATCTTTAAGTTTATTTCAAAATTCTAAAAATCTGATTTTCAATAACAAATTCTAATTAATAATTTAATTAAATGAAAAGGGGAGAGAATGCTTGTGAATCAACCAGTAAATTACCATAAAATCATACGAATGCAGCACAATTTTACCACTTTAATAGTAAATTGTTGTGTTTAAGCCATTATGCATTAAGCATTGTTTTCAATGGCATTAAGTATGAAGATTTAAAAATTAAATTAGTGTTAATGTTTAAAGAAATGATTAAAACATTAAACACTAACATTTTTTTACAATATTAACCAAACATAATTTAAACAACAGTTTTGGACCAAAAAATTAGTTGTCTAATACTATTATACCTATAATATTACTTACTGTATTGTGTAGCTCTTTGAAGATATGCTCGCATAGCTAAACTAGTTTTTTCCTCTACGATTTTCTTTTCAATAATTTCAACATCTGGGTCATTACTCCCCACATTGTTTAAGCCGTATGTATATCTAGGTACCTTAAATATAAATGATTATACCACTGAAGAGAAAAAATATCAGGTCATAATAATATGATGACCACCGATTTACTAGTATATGTATTTATACATATGTGCAGTCATGCAAAAAGCGATCAAGTGAATATTTTCATATTTTTAAATTTATATAACTTTATGATTAAAACTAAAAAACAAAATATAATGATTTACATTTGACCACTTTTTGCACGTTTTTGTGTGAAACAATGAGTTTAATGTACAATATTTTATAAGAACCTATATATTTTAAAAATAAGAAAATAAATAATCACTTACAAAATTTGACAATATTTTTGGAGTATTTAATTTGCTTATGGCAAGATTATTAAATAAACGTTGCAAGGCCATCATGTTGAGATGGTACCAAATAAATACTTTATACCTTAATTAAACTTATAATCGGCATAAGAAAGATACATAATGAAAAATGAAAAATAAATTTTATTAGGAAAATTCTAATTTCTAAAAAACTGAAGCCAAAATCACTAAAGTTAAAATAATAATTTCTTAAAAAAAATTCCTCATGCAGTGTGATTTGCCGGAAAACTTATCAATTTTTATCATGTTCTGTTCTGTGTCATGTGATATCACTAACGTATCACCATAGAACACAGATATAGATAAGACCATGCATAGCACGGACTAAGATCATGAACTAAGATATACTAATATGTAAATGATATTAGTAATAGTATCTATAAATGTTGATATTTTTAAATTTTTTATTAAGGAGAACGTTTTGCGTTCGTCAATCTTCAATTTTTTTTATGGGTTTTATATTTATGGAACTAGAATTTTTCTTGTGCTCATTTTTTGTACTGTCTGAATTAATTCTTCAATGATTTTGTTGTGAAATAGAAAAATCATATCCATTTTTAATTTTTTAATATTTCTTATTACCAACATTTTAGTATCTTTGAGTAGGTACCTTATATAAAAGTGTATTGAAATTTAATTTCAATTTAGTACTATTATTTAAGAGTGAATATTGGTTAAATATTTTTATAAAATAGACAAAAATGTCACAAGGGTATACTGAAGATTATAAAATGAAAAAATCTCCAGTGAAAAAGGTAGGTACAATATTTTATATATTAAATGTTAATATTCATTAGTTTACACAATTTTTAAACAATATAAATAATTCAATTAGATAAAAGATGATCGTAAGCAATTTGGTTCCAAACGATTGCCAATAGTTCTAGCCAAACGTGATGGGTCTATCGAAAGAATTCAAGAGCCTGAAAAGTGTCATTCTCAACCAACTATATTAATTAAACCTCGAGATACAGAAAATAGATCTTTGTCACCAACTCAGAAGTGCATTCCTCAAGCCATGTAAATATTTTTTTTTACTGATACACCAAATTAAAATGTGTTTTTATTCTTCAACATATTTTTCCGTTGCATTTGCTTAGAATAAAATCCAAAATTGCTCAACATTTACCAGACTAAACCAGTTAATAACTATCCCACATTACTTATCTGTAACTGGGATAATGAACCATACATTACAAATTGTATAGTCCATTCATAAGTACTGTTGAATTTTTTTTCACCGCGGTTGAGCCTAGCAAATTTTGAGCAAAGTAGGGAGGTGCCTAAGATTTAAATTAATAATGTTTTTTTTTTTAATCACCATCTATGTCTTATGTTAATAATTTAGTATTAAGAAGGAAGAACCTTATCAGCCATGCTTACAAAAATCAGGAAATGAAGGTACATTATTTACTTTGCTTTTATATGACTAAATAATAATCAAATATTATTAGAACAAGTACAACCTCAGACAGAAATGAAAGCCCCAGTTAAAGTGATTGATGATTATATGCAATTTATCAATGAAGGTTTAAGTAATTGTTTACTTGATCAGACGGATTTCTTAGTTATTGGTTGTCTGGGTTTACAAGGTGTTGGAAAATCTACACTTATGTCTGATATTGCAAACAAGTAAATTTTTTTCTTAATTATTTAAAAATATACAAATAAACAATTATTTTTAATTTTCAGACCAAATTTATTTGCTACTTCTACATCTGAATATCTAGAAACTACACAAAATTGTACCACTGGTATTGATGCATATATAACTAAAAACAGAATTATTTTATTAGATTGTCAGCCAATATTATCATCATCCGTTGCTTATTCAGCTAGCCATAAACGAATGGGTCAATCTATAGATCCATCAGGTTTACTAGTTGATAATGAAATGATTTCCTTGCAGTTGACTGCGTTTTTTTTATCAGTGTGTCATGTAGTGTTAGTGGTGCAAGATTGGTTTTTCGATCCCAATATATTTAAGTAAGTTAGTTATTTTACTAATTATTTGTTAAAATAATTATTTCATTGTATCTAGAATATTGCAAACAGCAGAAATGTTAAAACCGGCGATGCCTACTTCCCATCGCAATGAGGAATTGGTTGAATATTTTCCTCATATTGTATTTGTGCAAAACAAATCATTTTACTCTGATTTCAGTATCGAGCATATTAAAACTGTGCAAGTATGTATTAAATACCTGAACAGGTTTTGAATGAATTTAAAAAAAAAAAAATTTTAGCATGTTTATACACAATTATTTGCACGGTCTCGTCTTCATATCCAAAGTGGAGTCAGTATTGCAAATGGCAATGTTATAAGTGAACTAAACCCATTTAACTGTGGTGAACCAATAAATTTATTTGTCTTGGCGAACAGTGAAAAGGACAGTAACTCTGGTATGTTTTTAAAAATCAATATTTTATAATACTTTGTATTTATTAATTTGGTGTACCTATATTTTACATCTTGAAACTCAAGTTGTTGATGTTTAAATAAATATATTATCAATACACAATATGCCTTGTCCTATAAGATTATTAAAGATAAGTTTTTAGAGTTTATATTTTTGTATGGTGTATATATGGTGAAAAAGAAAATATTTAATTATATATTATAATATAATTACATTAAGACTTACTACTTAGTAGTAGTTAATAAGTATTGTATTTTTATCTAGAAAAGAATGGCTATCACAAAATGCATCCAGGTCAACCAATTTTAATGCAAGAATTTAGAAAACAACTACTAGGCTTACCGATATCACCTCTCACACACACCCAATTAACAGAAAAAACATGGTAAGTTTAAAAAAGTGTTGATACATTCAAAGGGCACTTTTGTTTAAAATAATATGATCTCATATGAAATCATATTTTTTTTTAAGGAATTGTTATTAATTTTTTTTTTATTTATATGCATACAATTTTATTACTGTGTAGTAATTTTTAACGCATGTTTAATTTTTTAAATTGTACTGTTCAAATAATTTTAAAAAATAATTTTGCTAGAAGATAAAATTTAAAAAAAAATATTAGAACTTATTACACATGATATAATTGTGTGAGGTATTTTTGACATTTGAAGATTAATTATTTAGTTGTTCGATTTATGATGAAAATTTTTTCAAACAGAAGGCTTGAAAAGTCAAAAATAAGATTCTTCATAAGTTTATCTTACAGATATTAAAAGTAATTCCATTTTGTTTGAAATAAGCATTTTAATTTTGATAAAAAAGTTTGATTTTTGTCGCATTAACTGTTGTAAATGAATACAAATATTTAAGAATGCTCATAACTTTAATGTTTTAACCAACGAGAGAACATGTTCTTCCTAAACGTTTGATTATTGAAAAGAGGTTAATTCACTCTAGAGTAAAAGCTGACAACACAAAATTGGAACTACTGAACTACAATTTTTATGTTGCCTTTTTGTAAGTAATAGGCCATCTCGCCAATGTCCTTTATAAATAAAATTTTTTTAGCAAAAATGTTTTCAATTTACTTATAATGACATTAATTCATTAATATAATTTTGCTAAAAACATGTTCTTATGCAATGATTTACCATCTGATTCTAAATTAACTCATTCAATACAGAGGTCAGAGACCAACAAAATGACAAGGTACACTTGAAACCTACTAAACACAATACAGCAGAGTTACTTTCGTAATTTTTTTACACTTTCAGACTGTACTTCTTCTATCTACTAGACCATTGGGTTGAGGATTGTGTAAAAAAAAGTTGCATACAATTTTTTTAACTCATAGTACTTTTATTTATGAATAAATTTAAATAGAAACCAAAATTAGTATTATTATTAAAAAACTATGATTCAAATAGTATCTAAAAAGTAGTTGTAACTTAGATATTGAATGTTTTCAATTATAACTACAAACTGCATATATAAAACATAACTTAATGTATAATGAACTTGTTTGTGTACCTTATGACTAAGATTTAATATTTTCACAGGTTTCACTATTGTGCCAAAGTATGGGATTTAATAAAAAAAAGTCAATTCTTTAATGAGTATAATAGACTTCATACATAATTTTTCATACAATTTAATGTTTTAATCTGAACATAATAAAAGTAATGACCAAAAAATGTAATGTATATATTAGTTACATAATAAAGTATTATTATTATAGTATGTTACAAAAAAATGTATTTTAATTTAAACCTTTATAGCTTTTAGCTTACGATTAAGCTCTTCAAATTTCAATACTTTTCTTATGAAGAAATCGCCATAACGATGAGCAACTTTGGTATCTGCTATGTGTATCATATCACGATCAATATAAAAGTCCAACTAGAATATGTAAATTTCCAAATTGTTATAAAAATATAAATTTTTAATAAAGTTAAGATAATGATCAAACCTCAGATCCTGAATGGAAGTATCCATCTAATCCAGATGCACCTTTATTCCATACAATATTCTTCATTTTGTGTTTAAAACACAATAAATGTTTAGTCAAATTTTCTTTATCATCGGTAGGTTCATTACTTTCATGTTGACCTTGTTGTCCTTGTGCCATGAATGTCACCAATTTATTGATTGGCAGGGTTGTGTATAATTTCAAATAACTGCAACAAGAAAAATGTATTTAGGAAATTAAATATATATTTTTAATATAAAGAAATAATAAATAAATAAAGTTGGCATAGGAAGAACCATATATTTGATCCTTTGTGATACCTGCGAATTGTAGGCAACATTTTTTGTTGTTTAACTTCAGACATAAAAACAGCAGTTTGATATTTTACTGCTTCCTTAACTGAATCTTCAGCTGGGTCCATTGACAAGAATTTAGGACAAGCCAGCTGGAAACAGTTTTCAAACTCTTGTAAATCACCATATTGCATTTTGAACATCCTGTCAGTATAGTTCTTTTCACGTAATACTTGCTGAATTGACTCATCAACACATTGTGGATGTAACACTAAACACATAGCTAATAATGTGTACATCTGATCAGTCTGTTTGTTAATCTAGAAAAAATATAAAAATACATTAAGAAATAACATAGTAAGTTAATATAGTGCTAGTCTTACTTGATCATTCTGATATGTGCGAGTTTGGAAGAGCTGTTTTGTTCTTTGTATATACAACAAAATTGAACTAAATGTACGAATCGCATCAGAATAACGACGCATCATCATGTAAGCAAATCCAACATAGTATGCTGTAGAAATGTGGCATGCTGGTACTGAACTATATGCGTTCTAAAAGTTATAATTATAATTTTATTAAATAAATTTATGTTTTAATAAATGTATAGCAGTATACCTTTTTATGCATATCAATGTTTTCCAAAACCTTAATGGCTAAATAATAATCTCCAAAAAGACTATGTAAGCGCAATAGTCCAATCATTGAATAATAACCCAACATTTTATATAAAGAATGACGGCCAAACTCTCCAGCTACAGAATCTGGATCTCCTCCACTTGCAGTAACTTCCAATTGTAGTTTGATATTAGATTTATTAATAAATGAATGCAGAACATTTAAAACCAACAAGACATTCCATACTTCATTGTTAGAAGCAAGCATATCAATTTCTTCTTGTGTTTTTCGACTACGAGACCGAAATTGAGTAAAGGATTGGAATTGATACACAAACTCATCAACAAGCTCCCATAACCATTGTTCAGGTAATTCTAATGGTACTGGAGTCTCACAAGCTGTAAATAATAATTTTACAAAAATATGTTATATTTAATAGTTTAAATAAACAAAATTGACTTACTAAAGATATAATTGAATAGATCACAGTAATTGTAAAATGATCCAAAACGTTGCTTTGTTGAAGGTCCATTTGGTACACGAGCAATAATATGTCGATAGTACAGTTCTTTGTACAGCATCAAGAAGGTCTAAAAATTATTTAATTGTAGACTATATGCATAATACTATGTAATAATAACTAAATTGTTAAGTACTTTATCATCGTCCATAATGGTACGGACTTCTTTATCACTAGGCCATGGAGCTTTGTCAAAAAATTGATCGGATAATTTTGGAAACCTTGATAACACAAATGCGTATACAATGTTAAAAACTGACATTGCATAGGAGAAATATCTAAACAATAAACTTACGTATTTTCATATAAATTTTGCATTTCATACACCATTCCTTCATTTATGGCATTCCTGAAGTACAGTAAAAATTTCTTGATAATGTCAGGCATTTTAGGCTCGTACGGATCGGCATCACTATATCTATCTTCATTATAGTTATTGTAGTAGGTATCACCTTCGTATTCCGTCTATAAGTATTAACAACAAAATAGTTTTAAAAAACGACATGAATTAAACGTAACAGAGTATTGATTTTCAAAATTTGTACCTGATCGTATTCCATAGCTTAAATGTTGTTCAGATCAACAACAAATGAATAGAATGTTAGGGTATGTCTATGAGAAAACAATCACAAAAATGAAAAAAAATCCTTAACTTAGAAATTCTATAAAATTTTAGAAGTTATAAAGGATAATCCTGAAGACCGTAAATTGTCAATTGACAACAAAACACTAAATATGCCTAACCTAAAAAAAATCGTCATGGATGCCGTGAGGGTGGTGTGATATTTTCTACCATGGTTGGAAACTTAGAAATGTTTGTGTTGTTGGTTGTTTGGCTGTTACCATTGTTGATGTGTGATTGTGATAAAAACTTGAATTACAAGCGAAGCATAAATGCATAATAAATGTCGGCAATCGGCATGCCTCTCAACTCGCCTACTGTGGATGTTTCCGAACTCTGAAGCTGACTGTTTGCCGACTCTGCTGGCAGTTTGCTATATTACTTGCAAATTTGCAACTTGTCTGTGCGGGCGACTACCGGCTTCAACTGTCTCACTGAATTACTAAATATTTTAGCTGCCCGGGTCCAATCCTGAGTTATAGTGAGTGAATTTGATTATCCATGAACGACTAATATATTACCGTGTACATTCAACATTTTTTTTTGTGATTTAATCTTCTACCTTCATAGTTTATTATTATAGGTGTTAGTAATGTTATTATACAATATTATACTTAAAAGGGTTCCACTCCTTATATTTCTAAGAACTTGTCGATAATGCTATCGCCAACAAATTATATCTATTTTGTCATAATATAACTGTAAAGTGTGTGATTTATTAATTATTCTATATATTTAATATAGGATAATATGTAAGTTCATTATTAAATTTCCATTGGTAAAGTTATGTTACTAGTCCAAAAATGTAAAAATCTTTTCCCTTTTCTCTTACATCTTTGGTCTAGGTATCTGAATTCTGCTATACTAAACTATCATTAAATATATTATAAGAAACTTTCATTAATCTAATGTCATTAAATCATTTGTAAGAACCTCCATTTTTTGGAGGTGTATATAAATCATGAAGATTAATTAACAGTAATGGCAAAAGTAACAAAATAGTTCCCGTCACTTATTTGGCCATTTTTTTGTTCTACTTATTTTTTTTGGAGATTTGACTTCTAATGTGTATAATCTATTTGATAAGTTCTTAACACAATATGTAATAATATCGATTTTAATGTACTTCAGTCTGTAGTATGGGTTCTATACATTTAATGCTCGATTTAATGTATATGAAATGAATTGTATCAGTAAGACTTGATAATCAGTCTTTTCAATTAATAATACTAAATAAAATATATTTATAGGCTTTAAACTTGAAAAACATTGCTACTAATAAATTGTATTTTTATGACTAAATTATAGAAGAAGAAGTATCTTATAATTATTTGGAGCCATGGCACTTCCATCAACTTACAAACAAATAGCCATAAATCAACAGTCTCCTGCTCGTAAGTGTTTAATTAAATTGATATCTACCTTTATTTTAATCAAATACATAATAATTTAATGCATATTATATTATGTAGTGAAAATTGTTTTTATATTTAATTGTTATTATTAGCCTATATTTAAATTTTTTACATATGTAGGTAGATTGTAGATAGGTACTTGGTTATAAAATTAATACTGGAATATTATCATAATTATTCCAACATTTTTGTATACACTATACAGTGTATGAAAATTCATTAATTTATTTGAATAAAAAAATATTTAGGAGACATACAATGCTAACATTATTAGTATTCAATTTTTTTGTTTGTCATAATGGTAATCTATGATATGTATTTCATAATCTGAAACTAAAACATTCGATTAGTTTCTAATATTTTTTTATGTAACAACTACTTACGATTTTACTGATCACCTATTGCTATAAAAATATCATTTAATATTTATTTTTAAAAAGCTGTAGAAAGGTACGCCTTTGCATTATGAAGTTATATATTAGGCCCATTTCACATAAATGAGTATTGTACAGGCGCTTTTCAGTTACATTGGTTTAATTCATATGATGTATAATTATTCATATAACTCTAATGATGGCACTTTTTACTTACGATATGGTGCATATGAACTTAATCAATGTAAACCAAAAACACATGTACAATATTTCGTGTATGAGACACATCCATGTAAAGTGGCCCTTACAATTTCCATTTACAAATCTTAAGTTTATCATAATTTATTTTACTAATAAACATAATATGAACAATAGAAAATATTAGAATTGTATGCATGTCAAAATAATGTGATTGCTTTTTAAAGAATTGCCCTATATTTATTTTATGTTTATAAAAACTTGATAAAAAAAACATTTTTTTTTAGCATGATTATAATACAAAAAAATAGCTTCATTCAGGTTTGGTCACACAATATTTTAAGTTAATAAATTATGGAAGCTATAAATTTGATTTCTTGACTCATTCAGTCAAAAAATTAGTTTACTGTTAGAAACTTTGTATTATATAGTTGGCTGCTCTAGCTTTTTCAGCAATTCTGGAAGTAGATATAATTTAGAATCTAAATTTACAGAGTTAAATTATCAACTTATAACGCATCAAAGTATATGATGAACCACTAAGACCATATGCCTGAATTTACAAAAATCTAATGATCAACACCTGGTTTTACCAAGTCTGATGAAAAGCTGTATAATATCAGATACTGATAGCATAAAATCAAAATATATATTGTTTTTATTTTTCCTAGAAGGACAGTATTAACAGAAATCATAATTCTAAAAGTTCCAAAAAATAATGATATTCTATTAAATTGGCCAGGCTTTGATTATATTATGTTAAACATTTTTATAGATTCTATAATTGAGTCTGCAATTTTGCATGTATTAGTCTTATTCTACTTTTAGTTAGATTTTTTTTAAATTCTTGGATTTGAGCTTGTAAAATGTGTGCCCACAGGTGCTCCAGTCACATTCAACATTTTGAAAGGTAAATTGTATACGTTATTAATTATTTTCTAAAGCCACATAAAGTTTAAGATGCACTCATTTTTGCACACATGCCAAAAATCACAATATTTACAAAAATATTTTTCACAATTATTTTTGGTATTTAAAGAGTACCCACAATTAAATCTTCATTTTTCAAAATATTAATTATATATGTTCACATATGTGTACAAGGTTTTTAAATTATACCTAATATTAATTAGCTATACCCACCTAAAAGTGTCTTGTTTTTATTTCTTTAATAAATTTAATTATTTAGCATGCTAAAATATACTGACATTTATAAATATCTTGATATTTAAAAATATTGATTGATATGTTTAATAGAATTTGAAATTGTAAAAAAAAAACACTAGTATGAATATTGATTAGTTTAATTAAAAAAATATTTAATGTTTAAAGTAATAGTTTTTTTGTTGTATTTTTTTCCAAAAGCCTTGTATAACTATGTTTTATTTTATAAATGTATACAGCTAATATATTCAACATTTTTTTGTGGCAAGAAGTATGGTGGTGGATATAAATCAGTGCACGATAAAAAATTTAAGTTTTTAAAGGACTATTTGGCTTTAATTTTAATTATTTTAATAAACATGTTTAATAAGGGTTTATACTTTTTATTGCATAAAATAATTAAAATCTAAACTCTAAATGATCTTCTTTTCTTTATTTTACATTTAATTCAAGTATTTTATTTTATTCTTCTTTGTAATTAATGTGAGCAAAAATAATGTTTTAAAATGAACTATTAGTGAGGATGTTTTACCTCAAAACCAATAATACAATGTGTGAATAGTTTCCTAATTTTTTCAGCGACTAAAACGGGATCCTATCAAAATGGTTAGTAAGTCTTATTTACTTATTTAATTTATTCTGTTACTAATATGCATGACCTTTCTTAGATACTTATACTTAGATAGAAAAGTAGGTTAACACTTATAAATATTTCTTTTAAATTGGTTAGAAACAAGTGATATTGAAAAAATATATATATGAATCAACTTTAATTATAAATATTCTTTTCAAACAAAATTGTTACTTAATAATATTGTACATAGTTGAAAATATTTTTCAAGTATCACTTGTTATTCATTGTGCTTTATGTATTAAGAACTAACCAGAGTACTAGACTTTTTAATTAAAAGCAGTTTTTTTATAACTATGTTATCAGCATGTAATCGCGTGCACGACTATGTTATTTGTAATAATATGTCAATTATTTCCATCTTAGAGGCTTAGAATCATTAGTTCAGCATTAGTTTTTTTTATAAATTACATAATTTTTAACACATAGTAAAAGTCTTACATGAAATGTTAAATTAATATGATTTTAATGATTTTATTCATTGTTCACTATTTTTTACATTCACATAATAAATTGAAAAAATTGTTTTTTATCTTAACAATTACAATTTAATTAAACCTTCTGTACTAAAATGTAACTTTTTTTGGTGTAAGTGTCTTTAGCAATAATGATTTGAATTAAATTAAATTTTTTTTAAATTGTATCACGACTAAAAAAAAGTATATTTTCCTTTTTATTGGTGTAAACATTATATTATACCTAATGGTTTTTATTTTTGCATCAACTCTGAGGTCTTAAGCTAAATTAATTATTTATCTAAACAAATTGTAAATATTATAATTTGTGTCAGTGATTTATTTATGAATAACAATGTATTGTTTATCAAATTAAAAGTTAACTGGTCAAGTTTTAATAAATAAATAAATAGATTATATAACATATTACCTATATTACAGAACGTTTAAGACCGGGTGGAAGTTCCAGCCAATTATCTGGATCTGTAAGTATTAGACTATTTAGTATAAGATATTGTTAGATAAATACATTGTGCACTAAAGGCAAATTTCAGAAAAATAGAACTCTCTATAATTTGTTAAAAAATCATTGTTTTTGTACCATTTTTACAATAAATTATATGAAAAGAAAAAAAAGACTGCCCTCAAGGAGGGAGTTCTTTCTTCACAAGTTGGGCACCAAAAAATGTATGGTCAATAAGTTGATAAGTTAAATAAAAATTTGATTAACAAATTAACTTTTATTTATTGGATAGATGTTACTTAAATTTGTTTGAAAGATAAATCAATCAAAAATAAAATTATAATTGGAGTAATAAGTGTAATTAAAAAACATAGACAGTTGTATAATTTGTATTAAAAATATTATGATCTTTAATAGTTATGTATTTAATAGTCAACTCACTATATTACTTAATGTTATTTTAATTTAAAATATGTTTAAATTTGTTTATACAATTTTAATATGTATGAAATAATTTTTTTTTTCTTGTAATTTAAAAACAAAAAACAGTATACTTGAAATTTTTCTTCTATCAGTTTCTATACACGATGAAAAATTACAGTCCTTTATAAATTGTTATAATAGCAGTTAAAATGTATTAAAGATGTGATAGATTCATTTTTTCTGAGCAATACAGTTATAAATATGACAAATTTCATCAAAATCTCTAAAATTTGGTAAATTATAAAGTAGTAAAAAATGTATAACATTTTGAAGTTTTCTTTACTTGATATTTAAATGCACGAGTTAAATAAAATAAATAAATATTAATTTAATTCAATGTTTACTCACAGAAAGATCAAAATCAAAGTCCATTCATTCCAAATAGCCATGGAAATCCAGCATTTCACCCACAAAAAATATCAAAAGCTGCTGTAAGCAATTTCCTCATTTCCTAACATAGTTTTTTTCATTAATGTATTGCATATATTAATAATTTTAAAGGCGGATGCTCGTGGTATTAAACCTCCCAAACCACCGGAAAAACCTCTTATGCCATACATGCGATACAGTCGTAAAGTTTGGGATCAAGTAAAGGCAGGTAACCCTGATTTGAAGTTATGGGAAATTGGTAAAATTATTGGACAAATGTGGAGGGATCTTCCAGATGATAACAAACAAGAATACATTGATGATTATGAATCAGAAAAGGTAATAAATAATTGTTAAGATTCTATTTTAAATCTTAATAACTTATTTTTAATATTTATATATTTAAGTTAACCTATGAAAAAGCTATGAAGTTATATCATACTTCGCCAGCCTATTTAGCCTATCTACAAGCAAAGAATAAAGGTAAATTGAATCAAGTAGAAGATAGAGAACCACATGAAAGATCAACAGGAGGTGGTAAACAAGCTGCAGCAGACCGAAGAATTGAAATACAACCGGCTGAAGATGAAGAAGGTACTTTCAAATAATTTAAAATTTTTGATTTAATTATTTAGTAGTATTATTGAATGTTTACTTATACATTATTATTTTAATATTTTAGATCAAGATGATGGATTCAGTGTTAAGCACGTAGCTTATGCTAGATATATAAGAAATCATAGATTGATTAATGAAATATTTTCTGATAGTGTCGTCCCTGATGTTCGTTCCGTGGTCACTACTGCCCGTATGCAAGTTCTAAAGAGACAGGTTCAAAGCTTAACTATGCATCAGGTATTAAATTATTAACAAATAACTAATAACATTGACTTTTAATTATTGATTTATAATTGTAGAAAAAATTGGAAGCAGAATTACAACAAATTGAAGAAAAATTTGATACTAAAAAAAGAAAATTTATCGAATGTAGTGACACATTCCAACAAGAACTGAAAAAAGTATTATTAATATATTATTTTTAATTGCGTAATACGCATATTGATTAATTATTGACCCTCAGTGGTGTATTTATGGTAGATAACAAAACAATAATACATACACCATTGTTATAACAATATAATTCTAAATGTAAATTTATAATATTTTTTATACATTTTTTAAGCACTGTGTTCAAGCAGTATCAGAGGAAGCATTTCAAAAAATGGTAGAACGCCAGGTTGAGATATTGCAAAAAGAACGAACTAAAACTGTATGCCCACCAGGACCCCCTGAAGAATTTTCTAAAGTACATTGTGAACAGCAATTAGAACAAAATGGAGCTGTACAATCTGTTGAGGAAGATACTTCATCGTGTGTGGTTGCTTCTAGTACCACTGATGATAGTTCAAATATGGAAGTTGAGGTAAAATATTGAAATATTATTATCTTAATTAACTTAGCTCATTTTAGATTCTGAGAGACATGTATTGATTTTACAATGAGATATATATTTTTATATTTGTTTTCTGTTTATAATCTTGGGAAGTTAAAAATTTTCAACTTGAATGGTTGGTTTCTGGTTGCAAATTGGATATAGTTGGTACTTAGGGGAATAAAAATAATTCATTGTACTTTTCAGTCACCAGGAAAACAAAAAAAAAATGAAGAAAGTACAATAATTTATATACAAATACAATTTTCTTATTTTGTTGTAATTCGAAAACAAACTTCAAAACTTAAAAAGTTTGCCAAATGCTTATAATTTGCATTTTTTATACTTTGTGTAATTTTCAAATAATTAAATTTCTTTTGAGCTATCTTGACATTTTTGATCTTTTTTTTTTATAACTATTGATGATCTAATTTCTGCTATGTAAATTTAATACATGGTTTTTCATAAGTTGTTATTATAGCTATTTAATAACATTAAATATAATTAGACAAGATTTTTTTATAAACATTTGATGTTAAATTGATGTGTATGAAATGTGAATAATAATTAATAGCTAGATTATTAATCAAACATTCAAACATTATTTAATTACTTCAAAAATCCTTGAATGGCAAATTGTTAACTCTGTCTATTGAATCATTGTACATCATTCCTGATTACATTGAATTAATTTATGCCCATCTATATATTGTGTCTTAATGTCTTCTCTAATATATTAATTGTTATTAACAGAAATTATGTTATTTTTAGAATAACAAAATCAACAAATAACTGTCTTTAAAAAACGATTATTTCTTTGAGACAGGCATGGTTAATGTGTATGAGTTATTAGTATTATTAATTATTTAATATATATATATATATTATTTTTTTTTAGTCTGGTATAACTTCGGACAGTTCATCAAAATCTGAACAACTTGTATCAGAAACTAGGGAAAATGGAGAAATTACAACTTCTCCACCACAACCTTCGCATCAACCTCAATTATTGAAAGAACAGCAGCCAGCTCAAACTCAATCACAACAAGCTCCACAATTCCAAGCACAGTCACAATTTCATCAGCAATTAGCTCAAACACAACCTCTGCAGCCTCAGCCTTCTCAACAATCTCTACAATCGCCTCAACAACAACTTATACAGCCACAGCCTTCATTACAACAATTGCCGCAAGCACAGTCTTCATTACAGCAATTGCCACAAGCACAGTCTACATTACAGCAATTGCCACAAGCACAGTCTACATTACAGCAATTGCCACAAGCACAGTCTACATTACAACAGTTGCCACAAACACAGCCATCGTTACAACAATTGCCACAAGCACAGTCTTCGTTACAGCAATTGCCACAAGCACAGCTATCGTTACAACAATTGCCACAAGCACAACCTTCATTACAGCAATTGCCACAAACACAGCCTTCAATACAGCAATTGCCACAAGCACAACCTTCATTACAGCAATTGCCACAGGCTCAGCCGGATATACAACAACTAATGCAGCCACAGAGTTCGTTTCAACAATTACCACAGCAACAAACCCCAGAACAAGTCTCTCCGCAGTCTCAACAACAACACTCTCCTCAACCACAGTTGCAGTCACTGAATCATCATCAACAACAACCTTTGCAGTCAAATGTACTACAGCCACAAACTCCACAGCAACAGTCTTTACAGCCACAACCTTCTCAACAACAGCCTTTGCAACCAAATTCTCCTCAGCAACAACATTTGCAGCCAAGTTCTCCTCAACAACAACCTTTGCAGTTACATACTCCACAGCAACAACCTGTACAGCCACATACTCCACAGCAACAACCTATACAGCCACATGTTCCTCAGCAACAGTCATTACAACCAAATCCTCCACAACAACAGCCTTTACAGCCAAATCCTCCACAACAACAGCCTTTACAGCCAAATCCTCCTCAACAACAACAGTCTTTACAGCCAAATCCTCCTCAACAACAACCTTTGCAGTCAAATGTTCCGCAGCAACAGCTTTTACAACCACATCCGCCTCAACAACAGCCTTTACAACCACATCCTCCCCAACAACATCCTTCACTGCCACATAATCCCCAGCAAAATTCTTTACAGACTCAACTTCAACAGCAGCCACTAACTCCACAACAACAGCCTTCCGTACAACCTCCATCAATTCAAACACCTCCGCAACAACAATCTCCACAGCCACAGGCACAACAATTACCCTCCCCGCAGATACAACAATTGCAGTCTTCACTTCCTCAACAATTACAAACTCAACAGACTCAAGTGCAAATATCACAACCGCCTCCACCACAGCCTCAATTGCAACCAACACAATCTCAACTGCAACCACCACAATCTCAACCACAGCCCCCTCCAGTCATGGTGCCGCCACCACCTTCTATTCCACCAGCATTAGGATCAGACTCACCTTCAAATGTTGTTTCATCAACTACAGAATCACCGCCAAAATTACCCGAACCTAAAGCTTATTCTGCTCCTTCAACTCAACAATACCCAGCATTATCACAGTCTTACACTCAAGTGCCTTCATTTCAACTTTCGCAGAACTCTCAAGTTAATGTTCCAAATGTATATTCACCAAATCAAGCTCCTTCAAATGCTGCTCCTCCACAACATCCACATTCAGGTATGATGCAGCCGCCTCAAATTCCCCCTCCTTCTCAAGGCGCACCATCGTCAACTCCATCAACTGGATTTCCTCCATATCCACAACAGCAACCTTATTCATCTCAAGCAATGCCACCCAGGCCTTACACATACCCTCCACAACCATATCCTCAGTATACACCCCATCCATACTATCATCAAGCGCCTTATCAACAATATCCGCCGCCACCTCCACGTGTAGCATATCCTCAACAAATAGGTACTGTTAATCAAGATGCAAATCAACCACCGCTTGAAAATATGTATAATGCACCTTCAATGTCTGGTCCATCTGAAAAACCAAATGATGAAAATAAGCAATTAATTGACGAAGTGAAATCTACTGAACCAAACACAGGTAATTGAGCATGATGTCTTAGGTATCACAAAAGTTAAATAAAATCATGACTTTAACATGCTTATAAATAAATTACCAAATTTTTTAAACTTAACCATGTTAACATCTATGTATGGATTATATGTATTAAAATAATTGTGCATTATTTATAAATTATAATTAACAATCAAACTAACTTTCTATTGCTATTTCAAAGTAAATACAGTTTTGTTATTCTATTTTCAAACTACTGTAGTAAAGTTTTTTTTATTACAATTATTTGAAATATAATCTATATCTTATCCGACTTATCCCTACCATAAACATTAAACATTTAATATTATTACATTTTGTTTTTGCATACCCATCGTATATTGTATATTTGGTATGTTAAACATACTTAATAAAAACTGCAAGCATTCTTCTTTAGGTTAAATGTTTATATCAATTAGTGAAATCTTTAAAAGAGTAATGTGTTATAATGCTTAAACACATGTTACAGTATTCTAAGAAAAATGTTAGGGTTAAATAAAATATATTATTTTAGTGAATGCAGTTAAGAAATGTTGGGATAGAATAGTTGGTTTCAACACAATTAAAGTTTGAACTAAAATATTACAAAATTATGATGATATCCTTTATAATAAGTAATATTACGTTATTACCTCTTTCCATGAATATACATTAATTTGGCTATTGATATTTTTACCCAGAAAAGCTGTAAATATCTATGTTGATTTTCAGCTAAATTCATCTTCAAACATGAATTGTTGATTTTGACTAAATTATAGGATTATATTAGATATGATTTGTATTTTCCTCAGAAATAAAAGAAGATAATATTTTACCATAATTCCCCTCTAGTGAATTATAGTTTAATTAATTGTAAAAATCTATTTAATTTTTAACTATTTTTTATTATTACATTTATTTGTCAATAGCACATGAAAAACTGGCTGAACAAGAAGAAACAGTTCCGCCCCAACCATCTTCAGCAAAACTCGATGAAGTTTCACAATAATATATTTATAAATGTTAAATTTTTTTTTATTATATTTCATTATGAATCTATTGTGCTAAGTTTAAAAAAAAGGACTAGAATTTGTATCATACTACAATATTGAAAGAATATTAATTTTAAAATGATTTAATCAGATTATTTACAGAAAAACATTTTTTAGATTTAGAATATACTATGGGCAATGGTTTTAATTAACAAAATCTTGTTTTATTTTTCCCTCAACTTATGAGCTATCTGAGTTTTTCATTATATTGGTAACATAATTTGTGTAGCCTGATTATTTTGTAATTTCAAATAATGTATTTAAAAAAATATATTTACTGTATACAATTGTTTCTAATTAAAACAAAAGTGAAATTATGTTCGGTCTCTTTTCTAATTAAACATTTTGTGTATAATAAGCATATAATTCTCAGTTTTTGGCAGGAATACAAATTTATTATAAGTGAGCTGAATAAGTTACAAGCATTTACATATATGCAATATAAAAATAAAATATATTATTATAATAGAAAATAGTATTTAATTAAGTGTATAAGATAATAACTTATATTAAGCAGGGGTAATAGTAAATTACCATTTTTTAAGTATATTTAAGTTGTAATTAATCATCAGAAAATATATATTTTAAGTTAACAAACAAAAATATGAATAAGTGAATACAAAAATAATTATATAAAATCCATTGATTTATACTTAGTTTTTTTTTCAGTCCCTTTATCACAATATTTACTGAAGTATTTTTTACATGATAATACAAAATTAACATTTAAGATGATTTCACACTTATGTAGTGTAAAAATATAAACTACAAGGTAAAAAATTTGTTGATATTGCACAATCATGTATAAATACAAATTTTATTTTATCAAATAAATCAATGAATGTATTAAAGAAGATAAACAATATGAACAATATTTAACTTCAAAAACCATTAAAATTACAAATTAAACAATATTCTTGAATAAGTCTTATATAGTTAACATGTTCTATGGAACCTTTCCAAATAAAATTGAAAAGAAACTCCAATACAAATTAATCATGCATACATTTTATGAATTCTATCAATAGATCAATACAATTTTCAAATGACTTTCATTTATGTATAAATTATTATTAATTAACAATAGCTTGTATAATACTTAAAATTAAAATAATTATTAGAATAAAGTATTTAAATGAATAAATCTCCTTATTTAAACGAGTTATACATGTCAAATAATAAATAATTATAATCTACAGTTACATTACAATTGTTTTAATTTTATCAAAGATTGTTTAATATAAGATAATATATATATATATCTGCAATATTAATTTACAAATAATTACACTATGAAATGTTAAAATTATGTACATATTGAAAAATGATTGTCATATTATGAGCAACAATAAATTAAATTTGGAATGATTTTTATCATAATCACAATTGTCAGAAATCTTCTTAAAATATATAAGACTAGCTCAAAACTTCAGAACAATAAAATAAAATCGAAACATACTTTGTTTAGGGGATTAGAATCTGAGCATCAGTTTTGCTAAATTAGTAAGCTGTGTTAAATATAATAGGCACTTATCAAAATTCATTGACCATAAATTATGGAGTTACGTTTACTAGACATCCAACGCATAAAAATACAAAATATAAGAATCATAGTTATAGTCAACATTAATAGAAGACTAGCGATGATTGACAACTCGAGAAAACCCAAAATTGTTTGAGGAGGTGTACCTATTCCTACTAAAAAGGTCCTGAAAATAAAAATGTTTTTTTAAAAAATTACATTTGGTAAATCAAAAAATAAAAATGTATAACTTACCAATAGGTATAGTTAGATTTTGCATAAAATTCATCATTGGGCTGTCCAAAAGACACATTAATTGACTTCAAAAGAAACTGAGAATTGTTGCCAAATAGTGAATTCCCGTACATCTTATATAAAGGGGTGTTGATCCAATCGATTTCAAAGGGATAATCATGAACATCGTACTGAATTGTGGAAGAAGAATTCAATGCATGTGTATTTTCTGCTTTATATACTACTGGTTTCCAACTCAGAAAACCACCTCCTTCCACATCTCCTTTTGCATTCAACAAATAGTTCTGAAAAATTCACAAGATATAAGACGATTATAAATAAAGATGATTTGAACTATTTGTTTGCTTGGTCTTAAAATGCATAAAATTTTATGTTTACATTTAACATAATTAATACAATTATATCAATGTTATAATGAAAGTTATCTATAACCTGTACATAGATATAGATAGCTTTTCTTTAAAATTTACATTACAACATATGATAAAAACATATAAAAAATATACTATTCATATATATACGAAATGTTGAGAATACAATTATACAAATGTCTAAACATGTCCATGCATGTTCATTTAATTAAAATCTGACGTTCATCAATAATAAAGTTTTTTTTATCAAACATAACCAATACATCCTGCAATTATAACTAATTCTTTAGAAGAATATTAATCTATTTAATATGTATACACAGGGTGAGGAAATAAAATAATCAATATCAGGGAGTCCCGGGAGGATTTACCCATTACGCAATATCTCCCGAGGTAACAAAAATATCAAAAAAAAAATATTATAATATTTTATATAAATATAAATATATATTCTTTTTGTTATTAGACTCACAGAGACAATATATATATTTTTTCATTTAATTAAATTTTTTGGTAAAGAAGTTAAAAAAATTTATTTTTACTTTTTTATTTTTGAAACAATTTAAGATATCCATTTTGTAGTTTATTTTTCCGAACATTTTGACCTTTCAACATTTGGTTTTCAATAATTTCATTAATTTAAAGGTAAAATAGCAAAAAACCAGTTTTTATCTGGGCGACAGTCCCTCTCTACGGCTAATGGATATAACCTCATGGGACACCATGTACTATTAATAATGGTTTATATGCAGTACTAAAAATTGGAGTTTTTCAATCATAACAGGACAAGCTTTGATGTTCAGTCAGAGTAAAAATTACTACCTCAATAAAATTGGATGAAAAATTATAATTATATTTATATGCAAAATAATTGTAGCACTATTAATAATCAGGCACAAACGAGCATTCTAAAGGTTTCAAACATATGTTGCAACCAATTCATATTAGACTTTTGGTAGTACACTTTTACTCGTCATAAAGATTTAATGGGCTATAATCAAGAACATTATTTAAAATAAATATACATCATGGTTAATCAGGTATATTAAACATAAATATCAATTATGGGATACCATTCATTTTTTACTGTGTATATATCGAGGTATATATTATAAACATGGTACATGGGAGTATACATTATTAATGACCCAATTACTCGATTTATCATATAATAATAATATGACTGTAGAAGGTGTTAAGCAAATGTAGCATTACAGAATAACATGAATGATAAATTATGAACTGCATTAATGACACTTACTATATTTTTTTTAACAACCAAGATGTAATGTTTAAGATAATTGAACCATTAAATTGCATATGATTGAAGCATAAAAATGTACAGACTAATTTAAAATTAATTATGAAAGAATATTTTAGAATTAATTGACTAAAAAAAAAAATGATCAATTATCACACTTCAATAATTAGGTATTGTAAAATATTTTATGTGAAATAAAGAATTATTTTAATCTGCTATTGGTTGGGTTTCTTTTAATATTTTAATACTTAGGTGTGAGGGGTAAAAATTTTCCTATTCATATTTATTTTTGTTGTACAATCGATTGATTTAAACTACATAAATTATGTATGGTATATTCAGTTCCTTTTAAAACAAAATTGTAGTTTTTTAGATTTTGATAAAAATAAAATAAATAACAGTTTATATAATATTTGATATTAACTTATTTGGTCACTCGTGGGAAACAATTTTCCTAGCAATTTCATAAATACGTTACAAACAGTTTTTTGCACAAACAAAATAACACCGATTCAATATAACTTGACTCCTATCAATGATTAAGTTTGATAAGCATTATAAGAACTATACAAAAACTTTTTCTGATAGTTATTAAGAAGGGAAATTATTTATCCTGTACTACTCAATGGGAGGTAAAATACAATTTTTTTACATTTTTTCTTAGTAAAGTAACTAAATACAATTTGGTAACACAAAGATTATGTCAATACAAGTCATAATAATTGTGTTATAAATTTCATGTTTGTATTTATATTTTTTATCATCATAAAAATTATTTATGTTCCATTTAATTGTATCTGTGTTGTAAAAGTCACAAGTATATTATACTGTTTTATAGCTTATAAATTCTGAATATAATAATAATCATATTTTATCAACTTACTAAAAATGTGCCACCAGCTAGTTTATCATCTGAAAATGTATTGCTTGATAATTCTTCAGACTTATTGAATGGAAAAGAGCTACTAGTAAGTAGCTCAACTGCAAAGCGTGATTTTGTAAAATTTGTATTCAAATTATTAAGAGTAAGTGTTAGTTCTCCAGAATCGGGAGTATGGACAAGATGTGGCAGCTTTGATCCAGTATCTTTTTTCCCGTATACTTTTAACTAAAAATAAATAAAATACTTATCTTAACATTTAAACTAACACAAAAATTATAACTTATTAAGTAGATATATCGCAATATTTAGACAATTTTATTTAATCTAAAATCAAAAATTCAATTAATTTAAATTTAACTATTACAGAATATGAATAAAAAAAATAAACTGAAAACACTAATTTGTAACGGCCAATTAGTTTAATTTAAAAATTATAACAGCTATAATTATTATAACAATAAATTTGGTTTAGGTAGGTTCGAAAAAAAATTCAATTGGATATCTTCTTGGATTTCTTTAATATAATAACCAAAATGATTAAAGAAAATAAAGGTAACTATTAAAATTTTCACTGTGGATGACATTAATTTCCATTATTTACATTGCTGTTAAATGTACTAAAATTTGATCAGCTTAACATTTAAACTTTTCATTGTTTTTTAGCATCTTTTGAAAGTACACCCAAATGGTAAATTAGAATTTTAATTTTTCAATTTAATTGAAATCTTAATTTTCTCAGCGCAACGATGACTCACAACAAATGTACTCGAGTATGATGGCCAGTAAATCTTTTCATAGAAGTTTCATCACATTGGAATTAATATTATTTTTAAAATTTGATATTTCTTTTTAAATTGAGTAAATGTATTGAGCTAATTTATGCTAAATATGAAAAATTGAATAGCTAATTTTTAATAAGTGTTTAAATAATGCTGTAAATTAGGTTGTGAGCTAGTAGTTATTGCTGTACTGTGAATAAAAAATAAGAGTAATAATGTGAGATTTTTAATTTAGGCAAGACATTCAATTTTATATAAAAATATTAATTGATTAATAATATAACATGAGTATATTTGTTCTATTTATGTTTTTTTTTTTTTTGTGATATCTTTTCGCACAATAGGTACCTTCATTAAAATTAAACAACTTGACGGTTTGTGCTATTAAATTTTAAAATTAATAAATAGTCAATTGAAAATTGTCATACGGTTCATACATTTTTTTATCACCAATTAATTTTATTCATAAATGAGCCCAAGGCCAACTTCATAAGTTCTTACCGTAATAGATACAATACCAGTTTTGTTAATGCCTGGCCCTCTATATGAATTAGTAGATAGAACAATCTCTACAGATTCGTTATTATTGTTTATTGATTGGGTTGTATTCCATTTAAAAGTCTTGAAATCCATTTTTATGAAATTATCAGCATTTTTCATATTAGCTGTATCATTAACATCATTGAACTCATACAACTAAAAGTAAAATAAAGTATATAAATAAACCTTTTCATTTAATTTGTATTATACAAATAATAAACCTAAACATTTTTAGCAACATATGTAAATGATTTTGAACAGATATATATCCAAAATAATATTTAAAATAATGTTAATAGATACAGTTTCAATTAAAAAGTCTGATCCATGTACCTTTTTATTTTATATGTATTGGTTGTTATGTACACAGACTTTAAACATTATTTACTATCTAATATCTATGATCTAATAGCTGTTATTAAGTGCGTGCAATCTACTTAGAAGTAATGCGATTAATTTGATTATTTAAATTAAATCATGAAGCAACAATTTCAAATTTCATATATAAGAAAATGTCTAACATTATTATAAGTTTATAAATTCAAAGACTTAAGTTACGAAAACTAAATTGCAAAATCCTTGGGTTCTAAAAATACCTTAATAAATACTTAATGAAATAAAAATAACAAATCATCAATAACTATTGTAATACAATTTTCAAAACTAAATTAGTAGACAAATAAAAAAAATATAATTATAGACTGAAAAACAATGGTAAACATATTAAAGACAGATAGGGTACCTAAAGAAACGTAAATATAGTAACTTAAAAAATAAAAATTTACTGTAGTGAATCGTTAAATTTGGAATTTTAGCTTACATTATTGAAGACTGATGCAAACGTATACAGCGGAGTTTCTGTAAAATTGATGCTGTTTTCCGTCTCTGAAGTATAGTTCACTTGAATAACTGCATCTCTGTTGGTTATTATAACGACCAGCGATGGTTTTAATGTGGCGTCCAATACAAAATGAATAGTATCGTTATCACCATCAGCCCGTATATATGTAAGTTTTGACAATTTAGAACAATGATCCTCCATCTGACATCCGGGATTAAATTCAGTGTGTAGCTATTAAATTAAAAACATTTAATTTATTTATTGTTACAATAACAAGATCCTTAAATTAGAGCTGTTGGTTAAGTTACCTTTCTATCAGCCACCACAGATGTGGTGAATACCGTCATAGCGAACAGAATGGTCTTAAGCGCTTTCATTTTCCCGAATGTACTTAAATGGAAAAAAACGGACAGAACACACTAAAGCGACTGCTGAACAAATAGTTACACGGCACAAATTCGAAATCGCGATAACTAAAAATGAATTCGGACTGGTTGTTTGGAAGGAAGAAAACGAACAAAAACAATAATAACAGCGATAACTCGACCTGTATCACCTATTGTTCTATTAATATTTGTAATTTGTATTATGTTTACTCATTCAATTGGAATTGTAACCGTCATTGGGCAGCCAAACACCGATAATGGAAGACGCATTCGGGCATCTCGAGTTCGAACAAAAGTGTTACGGTTGTTGCGTGACCGCCAGCTGCAGCTGCAGCTTCTACTATGTATATATACGATATTATGTTATTGTTGTTATTATCAAATATTTAAACCGTATAAAATCCACTTATTCCCCTTCCAAGACCGTTTGGACAATATTATTATCTTACACACGGTCACACTGTCAAATGTTTATTGTTATTATTTTGTTTTCTTATCATACAATGCTGATAATCCCCGGTAATTCCGTAATTTCAAATTTCGAAAAACGTGATTATCGATCCATATCACTAAATAATAAAGCTAATAGTTAAATACAAATCCCTTGTTCTAGTCATTAAATAATGTTTAGAACTGACTACTTAGGTCTAGTGAGTCAAGTCAAGGAATCTGTTGATTAGTATTCTATCGCGGGACGCTGATTGCTGCTTTTTATTTTGCATTATTTCTGAGCATTAAAAACCCGTTGGCCGTATTGCTATTGTAGACTATCCATATTTGTTTCCGATTATTTCGAATGCTTTAAATCTGGATGAATATAACACAATGTTAGCCGCCACCAATCCACAAGTAAGTAATTCATGAAATCTTACATCTACCGGGTATTAATATCAATAATTTCAGGTGTTCATACCTTTTGGGCGGCAACATGTAAAAAATAGATTCATTGGTGAAGTGAATACTCCATCAGTTGGATATTACGATCGACCAGAACTCCATGCTGATGAATTTTTGTCAAAAACAATAACTGATCTGTCATTGGACACTTCAAATAATACACATGTAAGTATTCTTATTATTGTATTGGATAAGCTAACTTCAATGAAACAATTACTTTAATAACGCAAAATAAAATCCTAGGCTTAGGAAGTAAAATAATTTGTTAGTAAACCATGTAACTCTTTCAACAGTTCATAAACAGCCCATGACTAGTTAAAATCTATTGAAAATTATAATTTAAACATTTGGTGAGCATTTTAAGTGTCTGAAGTATTTTGTTTTTGAATAAAAATAAAATAAGGTAATTGTTTCATGAGAATTCAGGGGTGAATAATATCCAATGTTGCAAAAATTTAAACTTCAAATGCTCACAAAATAATTAATTTAACTTAACTTTCCGGCAGTAATTTTTTTTTGTTCAAGGTAGAAAAACTTATGAGGAATCTTTTATTAAATTTTTAAATTTTATATTTTAAAAGAAAAATTTATATGAATTTCTAACAAAATAATTTGCAATTTTTGTGATTTTAAGATATTATAACAAATTAGAAATTCAGTTGCTGCTTTAAAATTATTGTGGATTTCCTCTAACTTTTGATGTAATTTCTACTAAGAACCTTGTATTAAATTTTTAAGTTTTTTGACAGAGCAAAAAAATGTTAAGACATAATATTTTGAAAAATGTATGATGTATTTAAAATGCTAATATAAACATTTAGTGGAAATTTCAAGTTCTACCGTATTTTTTTTTTTTAGCGTAACACCTAAAACTAAAACTGATTTTGCTTGAAAATCACTGTTTTTCCCAGCGCTTTAAAAATTACTTAAATTTCAAATGTTAACCTCCCAAATGCACCAACTAGAATTCAAATTCCTACCGTAAAAAGTACTGAAGTTGAAAATCAATGCATTATTCCTACTACTTATCGTGTACACAGACACCAACATTTTTTTTCTTACACCTTGTTACATCTTTACATTCATCACTCTGCTCAGAATCTAAAAGAAGTGTGTATATTAGTACATGTAGTACACTAAAAATATAAATAACAGTACAATAAAGATTGTCAGGAAAAAAATTGAACAAGAAAGACAGCTTGATAGTTGTCAGAGTCAACTAATTGCTTTCCATTATTTTTGCTAAGATAAAAAGATATGATTGTGATCTTTGTTCACTATTTTTCTATTGCATTTCGCTATAAAAGACAACAAGAAAATTAGTTTCCTAGGAACTCTTAATATTTTTTAATATAGAGCCTTTTTAAAATCATATCATGGTTTATTTATTTATTTTAATAATAATTGTTTAACTTCTTATGCATTATATTTTTTTTTCAAACTACCTAGAAAATGTCCACCTAAGATTTTTTAGTTTTATAACTCTGAAATTTTTTTACTGTAGACGCAAGAAAAATTTATTTTGAGAGAAAAAGATGGAGCTGAAGAAGAATTATATGTTTCTGGTAAGGTAGTAGTGCATAGCCGAGGAAATGCTTGTAAATCGGCTGCTGATAAAGAAGACTATACTCCAAGCTGTAGATCATTGATTTGTACTTATACTATGGAAACTAATGTTACACATGCTTTATGGAGTAAATTCAATGTTTCACCAGAAGTAAATGATGGTGAAATAAAACCTGAAGGTATATCCCATTACTTATAAATAAATCAATTAGTAGAGGTATTATATGTATTGTTAATACTCCACTAAGATGGTAAAGCCAAATATTAAATATTAATTATATATAAGCAAATGTAAAAGGAAATTAATTTTGAGAGTAAATATTACCTATTTAGATTACTAGTTATTATTTTAGATTTATTTTCTTGTAGTTCTACCATATTTCATCTTTTACTCCTTGTGTCTTTTTTTTCACATAAATTAAATTGAAATGCATTTTTAATAGTTGTACATATTATTTTATAGACAAAATTGTTCCATGCATATGTATAGTTGATGCAAAAAAAATAAGTTTATATTCTGAAGGAGGAGATGTTTGGCATACACCATTATATTTTAAGGTATGTTATTGAAATAAGTGAGTACTTTCAGTAGGGCTCAGATTTGTAAACATTTTGCAAAGAAAGCACAAAATATGTTCATGAAGACTTAATTAATACATTTTCCAGAGCATATTTTACAATTTTTAGGACAGATTTGGTTTTTATGGCATATTCCATATTGAATTATTTGGTAGCCAAAGCAAAAACTAAATAGTTACATGAAATTAAAAATAAATATTTTTTTGCAATGTTCAAATTCTAATAGGAGAATATTAGTTTCTCAGCTGAACAGATTCATTTAAAGTCTACCTACCTAACTATTATTTAATCATACCTAATTTTTCCCCCTTTTTTTCTGTGTATTTGTTTTTTAAATTATATTTAACCCAATAATAAATAAATAAATATTGCTATATTGCTTATATTAATATAAAACCAAATTCTTAAATACAGTTTTTAAGAGCATATTTGATTGATTTAGTTATATTAATTTAAGCACTAATCGTCATAAATCAATAAATATTAAATTTTGAATTATTTTAGGTAACATCCGTTTGGAATACAAGTTTTGGCATACTAATTGAAAGAGATTTAGGTCAAGTGCCTATTGATATGACAGGAAAATCTTTACCATTACCTACTATATACTCATTGAGCCAACCGTTAAAAGAAGTTTTGCCCCTGTTCTTATTAAAACAAGGTAATTATTAATATTTAAATTATCTATTTCTATCCAGCTTGAGAACACGCCGTGGCCCGATATGCAACTTCACCAGTCACTCTCACAGAGACTGCAACCCATTAGCAAAGGCAATTAGAAATAAGTACTCACTGCCTCAGCTAATTCTATACCATCAGAATACATGCACAGAACCAGGGTGTTCTCTTGCTGGACAAAGGCTTTCAACTTGTGCGTTGTTCCCAGGGGTGTCACCAATTTTTATCAAGGGAGCCGTGTCTACAGTAAAAAATAAAAATTTGTTTATTTTATTGTTATTTGAATGGGAGCTATTAAAATTGTTTTCAAAATCACATGAATTATGGATCCCAAAAGGTTGAAAATCCTTGGTATAGACCAAGAGTGGCAAATTATTTTGACGCTACTTGCTAAAAATTACATTTTTTTTTTTGTATTTCATGTGTGCTATTAAATTATGAAAAGAGGTACATATTATAAGCGTACGGCTAGTTATCATTCAATAACGATTATTTAATTACTGTACATATTAATACATTCATTGTGATGTTATCTTTTATTAAAAATAAAAATAATATTTATATATAATATAAATATTTTAATTTTTCGTGTGCCATCAAAATATTTTTGCATGCCACCTTGGGCTCTCGTATATACTATATATTAGTTATTAAAAGTTTGTTATATCCGCATGTGTTGTCTCCATCTTACAAGTGTGTAACATACCAAATTTGAAGTCAGCAGATCACATTTAGCTCAGTTAGCTTAAAATTTAGAGTGCATTGACCTCTTATTAAAATTAAAGGTAAGATTATTACGTAGGACTACTGAGTATTTTAAGTTGTACAAACAATTTACAATTTTTAAATACTCTCTTTAAAATTAAAATTTAATAAAAAGCCCATCGTAATAGTCCTACGTAATAATCTTACCTTTAATTTTAATAAGAGGTCAATTCACTCTAACTTTTAAGCTAACTGAGCTAAACTTAAAATTTGATATGTTACGCTCTTGTAAGACGGAGACAACACATGCGGGTATAAGGTCCTCTTAAAATATCTTCTCTACATTGTGGTTATTACTTACTATTCTACCATCTACAATATGAATTGAATATTGTTAAACTACTAATATTGTATATTAACTAACCATCACTATGCATTACATGGGATGGAAAATTTAATTCATTCAATTTTGTAGGAAGTGTATTACAATATGCCAGAGATTGTTTGACTACTATAGTTTTCACCAGTATTGAGTTTAATATATGCTTAATGTATGACATTTTAAATGGTCTACATAGTGTATGGAAGATCAGGAAGCCTACAACTGAAGTAAAGTATTATATTTTATAAATATGCATTTTATTTTTTCATCCTTGATAAATAGGAATGCAATATTATGTGTGGTCAAGATTCAATGTATTCTACAACAACAAATCCATCATATATTCCTAGTAATAGTAATCAAATTAATGCTATGTCAAGCTCATTAGTAGCTGGCTCTGGGTTTTTAACTGATAGGCAAGTACAGAGTGAATCTTATAACTGTAAACAATAAACACACATTATCTTAAAAAGTATTTATTTTTTGCGAAAGATAATTTTCACATATTTTTTTTTTAAATATTTCTTATG